CATCTGAGGACACAGCTGATGCTGGGGTTCCATCTGAGGCAGGTGATGCTGGGGTTCCATCTGAGGACACAGCTGATGCTGGGGTTCCATCTGAGCCAGCTGATGCTGGGGTTCCATCTGAGGACACAGCTCATGCTGGGGTTCCATCCGAGGACCCAGCTGATGCTGGGGTTCCACTGCCTGAGTTTGGTGCTGCTGTAGCTGCTGCTGCTGTTCTAAATGCAGGCGTTCCTGCAGCATACAGCTTAGGTGCTGAGTCACGGGCTGTTGCTGGCTGGCTGAATTCAGCAAGGTCGACTTGTTTAGAGAATCTTGCACATATGTCAGGATTTCGTCTGTTATGTCGATGTCTCTGAAGTCAACCTCACTAGGCAGGTCAGTCCTGAAGAACTCCTCACTCTGCATGCGTCTGATATCATCAAAATCAACCCCTAGGTTTCTCATGATGCTGTACAAGTCGTTATTTTTATTGTCTGGGAAGAAGCCCGGGGGCCCTCCAGAGAGTGCAAGGCTCATGTCCTGAGCATGTCCAAGCTGCTCGTGTTTCCACACAGCCTCACTCCCTACTGGTGCAAGGCTCTCCTGCCAGCCACTGCATTCACTCACAGAGTCTGTGAGAAAACGGCTGTCTAACGGTGCAGGACCTGAGGCAGGACAGAGATAGACGGATTCATCCTGTAGGATCATGGCATTCATCAGGGAACTGGGGTGGAGAGAATCCGTACTTGGGGTTGACTGGGGAGCCCAGTCTTTCCCACTCGTGCTGCTCTTGGTCTGGGTTGGTAAGGACTCCATCATGGGAGGGAAGGGGCTGGAGATCTCATACAGTACAGCCTCCCCGGTAGCACACATGAATGGCAGCATCGTCCTTCGCTTCTGTAAGTGCTCCCTTCCTTCTTCCTCCCTAACAGGGTGGGCAAGAACGTCCGCATACATTAACACTGCATCACACATGTTTTAAGCAAGACATTTTTAAAAGAAGAAAAAAATAATTAAAATGTACTAGAGGAGAGCCTGATAACACAGAACATGAATTTTATTTTGAACCAAATTCTTATGACTACTGTTATGCAAATATAGCTAAAACTATACAGGAAAAATATATAAATATTGAAAAATTATCAACAAAGCAATAACTAGGAGACATAAATGAAATAGAAGACAAATGGACAATAGTAAAATCAATAAACGAGATGCTTGAGCCTGGAAGAGACTAACGAAGGTAGAGGTCTGCTTGCTATACCAGTCGATGGATCTGTGACGCACACATCCATGTACTCTTATGGAAAATACAAACATTCACTATGGCCATGGGTTGATGACTTAGCTCTGGACAGATGTTAATTCTTCTCCCAAAGAACCATGTCATCAAAATCCCATCAGTTTCATTGTGTAAAGTGTAAAGAAGAGTCAACAATCATGAATGAGAATAACATCTATACAAAAGCAAAATGAAGACATGCATTCAAAAATCAAAACTGCTAATAAAGACAGGACATTCGGGTGACATGATGACAGAGACAGACAGAGGGACGGGACCAGCAACTCAAGAAACAAGAAGAAAGGCCACTCTGACAGGCAGAGCAGTGGGCCAAGACAGGTCTTCAAGAGTTTGTCTCTTTAAAAAATGCTATTGGTCAATTTGATATTCAAAAGGAGAAGATCGGTCAGGATTCCTACATCCAGCTGCACCCAGAGAAGCAATTCTCATGGAGAGAGCCCTCGCAGTGCAAACATTTCACAGAAGACTCCTTTCTGGGATATGTGAGAATCTTCCAGATCACTGGGTACACACCACAGTGTTTGTGGGTTTTTCTTTTACTGTAAAGATGTCTTGGATTTGTCATCTCCCCTTAAATTGGAGGATGAGTGGGATTCTTTGGCCTTATCTGCTTAGCTGCTCAATGAAGCTTGTTGCTTTTGCTTTTCAGCATTTCTTACCTTTGCCCTGTCCTCTCTAGATACATTCTTTTAACTTTTTAACTTTTAGTTACAGGTTCAATTGCCGTAAGATTGCTTTTAAATTTCCATGTAAGGAGAGTTATGAAAACACAAAACCAAGACAAGTCCTTTCAGTAAGCTTACGTTAGTGGTCTCTGAGTTGCGATGATGTAATCTGGCCTTCCATTTCTATAAATCAAGCGTGCATTGGACTGGACCCATCTCCATCGACTGTGCTTTGCAAGAAGCCTGAAAACTGTCATGCCACTTTCTCCAGTCTTAATCACTAAAAACAAACATTTAAAACAAGGTTAAACCCCGTATCAATATAGTAGAGAAAATTCCTACAACAGAGCCCCTCCGCAGGGCTGAAGAGATGATGCATTGGTTAAGGGCACTGGCTGCTCCTGCAGAGGACTTAGTTTGGTGCCCAGCAGCCACACTAGTGACTCACAACCTCCTATAACCCAGTCCCAGGGGAATGGAAGCCCTCTTACGGCATCTAAGTTCATCTACATCCATGTGCACATACTCCCACAGAGACAAACACACATATACAAAACATAAAACAAAAATTTTAAAAAGCCATTCTGACATATTTCATTAACCAGCAATTATGATAACATCTCAAAAACATTTGAACACAGTAAACACAGTGAAAGGCAAGGAAACATTTCTTCAGAGTTGGTGCTTTCCCATTTTAGATGAAGGTTAGCATGTAAAATATAAAGATTAATATCAAGAGTAGGCCAGAGAGTTTTGGTAACATATGAGAAGAGCTTAGCTTGGGAGAAAAGTAAACATGAAGACTTTTCATGTTAAATGAGCAATGTTTTTAGTTATGTCCTGACTTTATATTAACATACATGTATGAGTTAAAGATGCCATTAAAGATCCTCTGAACAAAACCTCATGGGCAAAATAGTTATTTTCATAATCATTAGACCACTATGTTACTGCAGGGCAGCTGAGAGGATTTAGGAAATAAAAAGGAAAGCTGGTTAACGAATCACAGGGCTGGGGAGATGCCTCAGTGGGTAAAGGTGCTTGCCACCAAGCCTGACTATTTGAGGTTGATCCTAGGAATCCGCAAAATGGAAGACAACTGACTCCTACAAGTTGTCCCTGACCACCTCTCTCTCTCTCTCTCTCTCTCTCTCTCTCTCTCTCTCTCTCTCTCTCTCTCTCTCTCTCTCAC